CTGGGATGCCTCTGTACGCTGAGTTACTAGATCCTGAGCTGCATGTCTCTAGCTTCTACCCAGCTTTCCCTCGATTTGTGTGCACTACTTCTCCAAAAACCACTTGAGTGGTCGTTTACTTTCTCGCGAGTGCCACTCACTGATGCGCTGGCCATACTGGTTTTTAGCAAGCCTTGCCATGTTGCAGTTATATCTCGCACTTCGTTTATTGATGGATAGTGTGACTGTTTTTTTAATGCGTTTTTTGCATCTATTCCAAGTAGAAAACACATGTTGACGAGGGGTTATTTGTGTGTGTCTGTGTGACTATTTGTATCCGTGCATCTGTGTGTGCGTCTGTACCGATCTCTCATCTCAAGACCTAAGAAAGCTACAGTGCTTAATCTACATACGTGTATGAGAACTTAATCTGCATGCACGTATTATGGGCCCCTGTCCTCAAAATGAACACTCTTGCTCGCGTGGTACCAACGTACGAGCCCACTAAAGTTTTTGGCAGGCAAGCTACTCACTCGGGAACCAGAAAAGCTGGAAGATTGAATTTTAAGGGGATGTTTTCCGTCCAAGTAGGTATTAACGGTCTCAAAGCCGGACTCCGGCTATGCTGGTTCTCACGTACAGATCCGTGAAAGTTTTTTGCGGGAACTTACTAACTCGGGTAAGTGGAAAGTTTAAAGGCTGTAATTTTAAGAGGATGTTCCAGGTCCACGTAGGTCCAAATGAGTTAAAAGGTAGCCCCCGGGTATGCGTGGTTTCTATGTATGAGCCCGTGAAAGTTTTTTGCGGTTAGGTTACTAACTCGAGGGATAGGAAAGCTAAAAAGATGAAATTTTAAGGGGTTGCTTCCTGACAGGCCTGGCGACCAGTCTCAGTTCTTTTAGCCACAAGCATCTGCCGGAAAAACCGGTGCCAGTAGCGACAAAAATCTGCGGGGAACTATGCAAAAAACGCATTTTCGCACCGTCAGTCGGAACGCTGGCCATTTATTTGAGCTTCCTCCGCTCCGTTTCTCTCCCCACCATAGCCAGCGTTTACTCTTCTGCTTACATAATTGACGCATTTTGCATCAGTGCAGCCACACTGAAGTAATTTTTTTTTAATAAAAAATATGCTCGGTTACTGAGGAATTTTGTGAGTCGTTAGAC